TCTTCACACTCTCATCAATATAGTCTCTAAGCAATGAAGTATAAACATTTATGCCAGCATAAAGTGGAATTGCTAATAGACACTGCTTCTTCCATTTCTGGGATTATCCATGAAGGGCCTGATCCGAAGTCCAAGAGTCTCTAGGTATGTCTGTGCTGCAGCTGGGAGGCATGATTCCCAGTACGGGTAGACAGATTTACACTAGCTCTCCTTGAGCTAGCACGCTGAAAATAGCAGTGTGGAGGTTGTGGGCTCTGGCAGCAGCTCAGGCTAGCCACAGAGCTCAGACCCGGGGGTTGGGCAGGTTTGGATTTGGGTGGCTAGCTTGAGCCGTTGCTAGTGCTGCTACATCTGCACTGCTATTTTTAGTATGCTAGCGCGAGGTGTGCCAGCACAAGTCTGCCTACCTGCTCTGGGAATCACATCTCCCAGCTGCATTGCAGGCATATCCTAATCGACTTCAGTGAGCTTTGGGTCCGTGGCAGCTGGAGCCTTTGAACTAAGTCATTTGATTTAAATGTCTTCGAGCTGCTGGCACGAGGTGTGCTTAGTGGAAGGTACTCAGTTCTAGAGTAAGTTTTCCCTCCCTTCCCGCCTCCCCCTCAGTGACCCAGTAGAGGCAGAGAGTGAAATCCTGAGACCATTGAAGTCACTGGCAAAACTCCCATTGACTTCAATGGGTCCATGATTTCACCCTGAGCTTCTTGGCCTTTAGAAGTCAGATGAAGACCCATCGGTCTTCACAAGCATTTATGAGAGGGCAGAGGGTGTTTATATGGAGAGGAACTGGTTTTTGCCTGTGATAAAAGTACACATTTGACACGTGTGTGTATCCTGAGTGAAGTGGAAAGGTGCGTTTTTATAAACCTGTAAGTAAGGCTGTATCATCAGTACTGGAGCGTTCCATTTAACTGGTGAAATCCTTTGTTAGAAAATAATTTTCATAAATTCTCTTGGAGTAACGAACTGAGAGGAGAAGAGAGAGTTTGGAATTGCTGATGGAAGCTGCCTACTTGGTGGTAGAAATGAGTTCAGAGCTCAAGGCTCTGTCTTGGGCTGCCGGGTGGGGGTGGGCAGGTGAGGGAGAGGGTGAGAGAGAGAGGCATACACACACTGGACAGAAAGAACACTTATTTATATCTGCTGTGACACCTTCAGCTACTCAGGAGAAGCACTGACTGACTTTGGCGGGGGCAGTATCCTGGGGTTGGGCAGGTGGGAGGGAGAGTATTGATTTTTCAAATTCAAAGGCCTTTATTGAAAGCCCAAGTAAACATTATGTGAGGCTGGTATGAATGGATCCCTAGAAGTATTTTTCTTCCAAGCAGCCATCTGTGGAGTACTATAGAAATTGTTCAAAAGCAAACATCAGCTGAGACTTCAAAGCCTGTCCTTGCACCTGTGCTTCTGATCTCCTAATATCTTGTATTTAAAAACTGCAAAAGGAGATAAATAGTATTTCAGTAGTAGCATTTTTATTTCTATTTCAGAAATTATTACAAATGTCCTCACTAAATATTTAACACTTTACTGATATTCATGGAAAACCTCTCAACTAGGCCATCCTCATCCTGGACAACCACCTCCTTGATCTTCCTGACACCCATCTCCCCCTCTCCTTCCCTCCCAATCCATTCAATGTGCAGCTGCTAAGTTTACTTTCCTGGCCCATTGTTTGACCAGATCACTCCTCAGCCCTCTTTGGATCCCTTTCCTAGCTCCTTTGGTGGAAGAGCTGCAGAAACATTTGTGTGAAAAGCTACTGGATGGATTAGGCGGGCGTTATTGGCAGAGTGAAGGACACAGGGGTGACCCAATAAGAGACAAGAACAGAGGTTCCCATGTTTTGAAGGGCCTTATAGGTGAGGATAAAAAGTTGGAAACAGAAGGAGCCTGTTAAGGCTGCTCTAACTTATACCATCTGGCATGGTCCCTGAGGGACTGTCCTCTGGCTGGGGATATCAGAGCACAGTGTGCTCTGGGCCACTCGTCTGGCCCATCTGTTTCCCCTGATATTCCCTCATCACCCTTCAATGTATCCCCCTGAGCTGGGGAGTTACATGCAGTCACTGCTCCCTCTGCACTGCCAGAGATTCCTTTATTTTTCAGTTTACAACAAAAATGTTATCAGCTACTCATCCCTCTTCTTAGCCTGAATGAGAGATTTTCTCCCAAAATGTGAAAAAAAATCATGTTTTAACCATTGTTGTGTCTTTCCCCTCGACGCCCTCTACAATATCATAGAACCTTGCGAATCTGCACACCACTTAATCCTCAACCAAACTGTCTCTTTCTCCCCACATCTGAGCAAAAATGCAACCCCAGCGTGATATAGTGAAATTTCCTATAACTAAGAGAGTGAGATATTACCATAAATAATTCAACCTAAACTGTAGTTGTCAAAATTAATGAGCAAAGTACATTTTGTGATCCTAGCTCTGTTGTTGTGTGTATTCCCTTCCTTGCTAATTTGCAAAGATCAGGAAACCAATGTCTCCTAGTCATTAGTGTGAATTAGCAAGATTCTAATGTAATGCATTATTAGTGACTTGAGATGCATTTTTTAGTGTTTTTAGTAGCCAAAATGTATGCCTTTAGGAAAACAAAGTTCCAAGCACTTATGGGTCTTAAGCACTCCCCCTTTTCCCACTTCAGCAGATGTAGATTGGGAACTGATGCCTGAGGTCTGGGGCAGTGGATAGTTGTCACCTCAGGAAGGCATTGAACCTCTGCTGGATTAGGTAGTAAGAAGTGTCAGCCCCTTACACAATGACACTTACTCCCCTCCTCCTGCTCTCCATTCCTGGCCAGTACATGGTGGGAAAGATGCCATCTTCACCTGCTCCCCACTCCGCTCTTTCCACTTGCTTGTGGGGAGTTGTACTGTGCATGCATCTCTGTGATCCCAGTAGGTCCTAAATTGCCCTGCAGGTAGGTGTTGGTGCAATCTTGCACGGTCAGGTAGGAAGAAGGTAAAATATGCGTTGCTTCCAAACACACTGCAACATTCCACTGAGATTTCAATGGAAGAGACACGAAAGCTTATGCCCAAATAAATTTGTTAGTCTCTAAGGTGCCACCAAGGACTCCTTGTTCTTTTTGCTGATACAGACTAACACGGCTACCACTCTGAAACCTGTAGTTATGCTGTGTGTTCATATACTTAAATGAGACATTTTTCTCTTTCCTTAACTTTTCCTGAAACTTTTAAAGATATTTAAATCACAAAAGCCATCAGTGTAATGTTCTGGGAGTCAGATAATCACACATAATTAGTGAAATTCAGAGTCGATGATGAAATGTACAGTGCAATATATTATCTATCTAGGCATTTATACTGCATTCATCATAGTGGTAACTATCTAAACCTACGCCTTCCAATATCTAGAGCCAATCGGATTTTCTTTTAAGAACTCTATCTTGACAGGTTCTTGTCCCAAGATCAGACCCAGTATTAAAAATTACTGTGTAGTTGGGAATCCCAGTGTACACAGTTGCAACACTCACACTGTAGGAATCCTTCTATATTTATAATAATTTATTAATACATTTAGCAAAGTCACAAGCACTCTAACTCTGTAAAATAGATTGAGATGATACAGAATGTACAACTGAACATCCATATACTCTCACAATCCCTTGCAAAACAACCTGGAATGTTAGCCATTGTCTTCCTCATCACCATTACCTCCTTCATCATCACCAGTGGCCATCATCCTGGCACCTCCCAAGGGCTACATCTCTCTCTCCTCTCGCACACAGGCTGGGATACAGCTTTTATAATATGTTACGCTGACACCACCGTGTCTAATGCATATTCAGTAGAGATCTCTCCCCTCTTCCTTATTTGTATTTCCTCACCCTACTTATGTTAGGGTCCCCTTCTCCTATATTAATTATCTCAACTTATTATCATACACATCAATTCATTGCCATGCCACTCTTGTAGACAGATATCTGCAAATATGTTCCTGTGGTTGGCTGTTATCGTTATGGACAAAATTCCCCCTCACACTCTATTTCCAGTTCCCCAAAACTTAGGGGTGACCGTTAGGTCATTTATCCAAAGTTCATGGGCACAAGCCTTATGCTAATGGCTGAAGCTAATGTCTTACAGGGTACAGGCCTGAAGGTTCCTTGCATTACTGCTGACTATAATAAAGGCCGAATATAATAAAGACAAGCTAGCCTGATGGAATACAGTACCTATTTATTGGAGCATTTCGATTTCGTAACAATAAACTTCCAGACAAATGTTAACGGTAATGAAGTTGTGTGCATTTATTCCCCGTATTCTGCAATCAGAATTCATCTGTGTCTGTTCAGAAACTGAATTGGTTATAAGTGTACTTTTCTCATTGCAGACCTGGCCTTAGTGTAAGTTACAGCCAAGAGTTATTTGATACCACTTCCTTTTAAAATGATTTTTCAGTCCTTGGGAGAAGTAGTTAAAATGCATGGGGGAGAGTTGACAAAGCTTATTACTGTACTAAGGTAGCTTATTGGATTTGTAAAACGAAGCAGGACTGATCCTGCAGGGTGTGGAGGCCCCTTGATTTCAGTGGGAGTTGAGATTGCTTAGCACCTCATAAAGGTGCTTAGCTCTTTGCAGGGTCAGGTTTAGTGAGAGCATGATACTTGCTCTGTGAACAGTGACATGCCTTAGGGCAGGGATTGCCAAACTTTTCAGGATCACGCCCCCTCTTACTCCTGTCTGCGCACTCCCCACCCCCAAGCCAGGGCCAGGAGCACAGGGCCAGGAGCGAGGACCGCAGCTGGGGGCGGGGCTGGAGCAGAGCAGGCCTGGGTGGCACTCCCTCCCTGCCACATGTGGGGGCTGGCCTGGGCCACACCACGCCCCCCTGAACGTTATGCGCCCCACAGTTTGGGGACCTCTCCCTTCGGGTTTAAGAGTCAATGGAAACCTTTTATTAATGGTGCACACAGGAGCTCATTAAGGGAGCACCAGTCTAAGTGTTTCATTCTCTTCTCAATTACAGATTGACTTGGAGCCAGAAGGAAGAGTATATGTCATCATAGATCTTTCAGGATCATCAGGTGAAGGTAAGACCTTTCAATATTTTATCTTGTTCCTCCCATGAATGGTGCTTTTTAAATAGATCTATCATGCAAATGTTGTTGGGAAAACAGTGTACTGCAGTATTGCTTAACTAATCTGCACAAGTTCATGTTAAAAAGAAAATGTTATCTTAATGAAGTATATGTTGTTGTACCTCTAAGGAATAGCAGTCCATGTTAGCCCTGGAATTATAGACAGACAACAATAAAAAAAAAAAGATAGTAACCAAGATACAGTAGCTTAGAGCTATTTAATATTCCTGGAATTTATTTCCGAGTACTTATTTGTCTGGTTTTGGGAAAAAATGTGCTATAAACCTGACACTAACTGTTAAATTTGTAGAAATAGATATTATACACATCAAGTGTTTCATCATACTAAATTATTAGTATTTTCCCCACTAAAGTATTTCCTTTCCAAGCAAACTGCATAAGCAAAATATTTTCATAATAGAAGAGTAATGGTTTGTATTTGGTAATACAGCACTTGCATATTGGCTTGGGGAAAACCCTAGAAATCAGGAAGATGGGTATTCCATGGCAATTAAAGATACTCCTCGGCAACTGTTTTTGTTAGGGATACTGCCAGCGGCTTCAGTGGGGGCAGGATCGGGTCATATATGGTATGAAACTAATTTACAACAGTCCAAACAATTAAGAGTCCCAAAGCTCTTCTGTGTATCTTCTCAAACATGCTCTTTATCAAGATTTTAGCTGCTGAAGAGTATTTGGTGGCATGGGATCTTTTTTGGTGAGTCATTTTAAGCTGTGTTCTTTTGAATAGTTACATGTAATGCTGCCTATCTAAACAGTGTCTATTGGGTCAGATTACTCAATGCAAGTTCATATAGGCCCTGGCAGGAGGAGAAATGGGAAACAGGAGTAAGCTACAGTTGTTTTGCCTGGATCACTTAAGGGATCAACAGAAGAATGTTTTGCATGTGTCATTTTGGTGTTCAAAAAGGAATAATTGCTGTCCACGGGTAATTGCTAGAAGTTGCAAAAGCACATACTGTGCTTTTGCCCTATTTTAAAAAAACCTTATTGCTTACAGCTGTTCTTACACCCCTGTGGCCACATAGGGCATTCTTCACACCCTTCATTCTTACATATAAACTGCATACATGATGCTTTAATAACAAACGCATGCCCCCTAAGCAATTCTCACTCATGCCGAGAAAAATTGTAAGACAATCTGCTTTGTTGTTTACTCTCATAGACTGATCAGCCAGTGTCTGCAATATGTGGAACAAATTTAATGTTAGTACAAATAGCCATATTTTTTTCTTCTTTTTAATTGCTGTGTCAAGTTTAGAGCTCATAGAAGTAAGGATCTAACAGTCCATCATGGTGTATGCAGATGTTCTTCAAAGCTTCCATTTGCAGTTCATCAATGAGATCTTAATTCTGACTAGCAACAACCTCGCTATTTCAATCCTTTATCACACACTGCCAGTGGTGCCGAATTGCCATTGGATTTTGGTTTTCTTTTTTATGTGAATGGATGTCCCTAGGCTCTTTAAACCCTTAGGAAAAAAGAAAATCCTTTTGGAGAGATGCATAGAATGTAGTAGAGATGAAGCTAATAGAATTCTATAGCAAAAAGAACTTTACAGAGTTAAACGATCCTACAGAATTACATAAGTATATACATTTCTCGTATCGACTTTAAAATAGGGCTGTCAAGAGATTAAAAAATTAATTGCGATTAATCATGCTGTTAAGCAATAATAGAATACCATTTATTTAAATATTTTTGGATGTTTTCTACATTTTCAAATATATTGATTTCAATTACAACACAGAATACAAAGTGTACAGTGCTCACTTTATATTTATTTTTGATTACAAATATTTGTACTGTAAAAAACAAAAGAAATAGTATTTTTCAATTCACCTAATACAAGTACTGTAGTGCAATCTCTTTATCCTGAAAGTTGAACTTAGAAATGTAGAATTATGTACAAAAAACCCCTGCATTCAAAAATAAAATAATGTAAAACTGTAGAGCTACAAGTCCAATCAGTCCTACTTCCTGTTCAGCCAATCACTCAGACAAACAAGTTATAGAAAGATTGTGGATTTCTCCATAGGCAAGTTATACACTGTCCTACAGTACTGGTCTAAAACACATCTCACAGTAGTGATCGGGCAATGTTATGGGCTATTACAGTAGAATACTGTCATATATTTTGAAAGGAATGAGACAAGCAAACTTGATCTCATTTGTAACCAGAAACCTTGGTTTTCAACTCCAGTCCCTGGAGATGAAAGGCTTGTGCATTATAACCTATTACACCACCAAGACTCCTTTTCCTAAACATCATCTTTAGTTCCATCCTGGACCCACAGAAATCTAATTGTCCTGCAAAGTGAATTCCAATCATTAGCTTGTTTTCCCCCATATGCTTCTTGCTTTGGTATGGCACAGTACCGGTAACAGTCAATCTTGTGGTCCTGGCAATTTCCATAACACCACTCTGCCCCACCCACAACAAAATCAAGGAATTTATGGGCTTCAATCACTCCTTCCCCCTTTGTGGATAGAGGAGTTGAAAACATGGCAGATCCCTAGCCCAGGCCATGAGAAGGAGTTTTGGCCTCTTCTCCACTATTGTCACTGGACGTTGTCGAGGTCCATCTATAGAGAACAGAATCTTCATATCAGGAGTTGGGGACCAGGCTGTCATTGGGAGAAGTGCTGGGGCCAGGGACTGTGTGCGCTGGCATTGCTACTTGGATTCCTCACCTATTCCAGAGACAAGCTGGGAATCTGCAGAAAAGTTAATACAGCCATAGGTTTTATTGACTCTTTTGTATGCCCCCTTTCTGCATTGAGGAACATCTTTTAGAGCAGGGGAGTTCTGCCAGTACCGCTCCACCAGAGAAGTGGTGAAGAAGGCATTTGGACTTGCCTCCAGTTAATCTCAGAGTTTTACTGAAGGTTTTGAGGTAGTCAGTGTTTTTTTCCTTAAAGCCCCATCTCCTGGAATCATGTTGTTGCCTGAGAATCTCTGCTTTCATTTAAAAAAAATGTCTAGACCTCATAGTTGCAGAGAAAAGCTTGAAATTATGAGCCCTAAAGCCTCAGAAACCAGGAGGCAAATACAAAGATTCCCAAATTTATAGATAATTTGTTTACAATCTTATGATTTTTAAGATAATCATGTTGTCTAGGGCCTGCTCATAAGTTCTGAACATTTGAGGTTGACAATGCTGCTCCTGAGACTTGCAGCTTTTGGCATCTGAACCATATGATGTATCCATTCTGCACTGGAGCGGGCAGGGGGAAGGGGAGAGGCAGAGAACAAGCTCTGCCCTTGATGAAATGAACCGTTGCAAACTGTGCAGTGGGAGCAATCTGGACAGAAGAGTTTAGGATAAAATCCTGAGTGGACACTACATTGTGGCACAAAGGTCCATATTTTCAAAGGCTTGTGTCTGTCTAGCAGCAAAATTGGTACATGTCCCCATTGTGCTTTCAAAACCAGTCCTCCACTTACGTCTGCAAAATGCATAGCTGGGCACCTAAATGCCACTTGCATATGCAAGTAGTTGTGTTTGTACCATACTGTATTTAGTGCATACACAAATTTGGAGGGTGAAAAGATTTTTTAGATGTCATTTTGGCTCATGGCATGGAACATCAAGTCCTTTTCCACATAGTTACTAAATACATGTGAGCTATTTATAACACAGGTATCAGTGTGTGAAGATATTACATTTTACAGTGTTGGGCCCTGATACTGCAAAGATTTATGCATGTGCTTAAACACACCATGAGTAGTCCCATTAAAGACAACAGGACAGGACTACTCACAGTGTGCATGCGCGTAAGTCTTTGCAAGATTGGGTTCCAAGTATATTCATCCCTTCTCGGGTTCAGTGTATAAAACATACAAAAGAAATAGAGAGGCTGAATCTCTTTTATCAACTGGCCTGCAAACGACAAAGCCCTCTTTGGCGATTACGGCAGTGCCAGAAAGGGTTCCCTAACATAGACTTTTCCATATAAACTTTAATAGCGCATAGGAGTCAAATCAAACTTTTAAAAACACTTTTGCATGCCAGTTGTAGTTCAGATTGTCTTAGCTTGGAGCTCTGAGCAACAAGGGCCTGTTTCAGTGCAGGTGTAAGCAGAGTTGCACCTTGCTTGCACCCACTCTGAATTTGATGCAGGGGCTGTACTGGCAGTGCTGACACACTGGAGTTAGAAAAGCATTAGTAGGACTGGTTATGATGAGCGAACCTTACAACCTTCAAAAACCTGCTTTGAAGTTGCTTGTATTTGATATTAAAAGTGCTTTCTAGGGATTTTCCTCTGCCCCTATGTCTTTTCTTCTACTTCTCTCTTACCTCATTTGTTCTAGGGATCTTAGAGAAGATACATGCACAAGATTAAGGGCCTCAGTTCTAATTGCAAATTCATTATGTTTTTGAGTGGTAAGGTTACAGCTTAAAAGAACAGCTTTGTCTTGAAAGCATTGCCAAGTAGAACAAGAGATCCTTGGCAGCAGTTCTGACCTAATACACTAACCCCTACATTTGCAAAGAATTACACAGGGTTTTAGGAAAACATTTGCTGTTATTGGAAGTCATCTGACAGAAGCCCTCTTTACCACTTTTAAAATTTAAGGGGATAGGCCCATTGCAGGTAAATAAAAAATGGCCAGCTTCTATGTGGCACGATACTCCTCCCGTCTCCCCCGGCCCCCCGATCTAAGCACTAATTGGCTGCTGTGTCTGTCTCTGTGAGCAATAAAGAGAGAAAAGTAGTCTGTAAGGCAGAAGGACAAATTATGTAATAGTACATATTATGGCATAGATAAAGGTACAGGCATGAATCCTGCAACTCTTAACTGGTGGGAGTAGCCTTTACTCACTGACCTCAATGGGACTGCTCACGTGATTAAGGAATGGGCCTTACAGGCTTGGAATTAATTTCATTCCCTTGGAGAGAAACTTCAAACCACGTAATAAATATT